CATTTGATTCAATCAGGCCAGGGCATACTTGTACTAGTAGGCAGGGAACTCGTCTTTGGTGCCCTCTCATGTCCTAGTACAGCTCAGGTGGTGAGGGCCACCCACCTGGGCGATCATGATACCTCGTCCTCTCTGCACTCTTACTACACCTGCCTGAGGGTTCCCCCAAGTGACGCCCACATGGGTCAGTCCCAAGGCTCACACACACTCAGTCCCCTTTCTATCACATTCACCTAGTACTAGTAGTAGTACTAGTAGTAGTACTAGTACTAGTAGTAGCTTTGTTATCCGCCACATGTATGTACCATAGCTAGCGTAGTATGTGCATGTAAGTGAGCATAAGTCTATGCATCCGGAGCGTACGGTACAACCGAGTCGACGCCGGGGTATCCGTACCATACGGGATACATGTACGAAGTACTACTAACAAACAATCGTAACGGTGCGAACACGACATTGTGCCCTGATAGAATCATATCGTTGGTCACTGCTTCACAGCTCTAGCGTCTTGAAATGAGACAGACGGCCAAAGGCTGCGAAACAACCAAATAGAAAACCAGTGTTCGAGATTCTTTTTGGACAACAAAGAATAYAATTTGAGATAATGTGGTCGACGTGGACGGAAAAGGCAAAGGAGGCGCTAGAGAAAACCAGTGCCGCATTGGAGAATACTGGAGAAGCGATCACCCAAGCAGCTACGAAAAGTATTTCAAAAGCCACTGCTGATGCAAAGTCAGAAGATGGAACTTCCCTTGAAAGGCAAGTCGAAGATTTGCAGAAAGAGGTTCAAAAAGATTCAACCTCAACTGCGCCCTCTCCCATGATAGCTCTGCCCAATATTCGCCAAGTCGATAAGGAAAAAATGATTAATTTGTGGTCGACGGTCGTAGAAACTACGAAGAAGGCTGCCGAAGAGACGAAACGAGCGGCAGAAGATGCAGTTGTGGCAACAAAGGATGCGGTCGAAACATCGAGATCAACTTTGGAGCGTCAATTCCAGGTGAAAAAGGGGTTTTACAAGCGTGACCCAAAACTTCCGCTTGACGTTGAGGCCTTGCGTGATGCGGAAGTTGTCTACATCACCGACCGCATTATCACAATGTCGCATCCGGCGACTGCAAGTAAGAAGATTCCAGCAATTACTGCAGAGCGAAAACTTGCAGCCATCGGACACCTTCTTGATCGCCGTCACGACGGTAGATATTTGTGCTGGAATTTGTCAGAAGTAGATTATGATGTGAGCATCCTGAATGACCAAGTTTTGACGTTTTCTTTTCCTGGATCTCCAAGCCCACCGCTTGGCTTGTTATTGAAATTGCTCGTTTCAATGGAGAACTGGATGAAGGCTGACGAAAGAAACGTTGCGGTTGTTCACTGTCTAACCGGCAAGGGCCGGACTTCGACAATCCTCGCCGCCTTTCTTTGTTGGATGGGCGAGGCTGGTAAGTAGAGTTTTGTATCAATCACRAGGGCTGGGTCAATCATGAGGTCTACGATAGACTCTTCAATGTATTTCTGTTTGYCATCGACYAGGAATCCGAACTCGAGGATACATTATTCTCATGTTCTTCCATACCCATTTCCCCCCTCTGCACYGGCAACCAATAGGGTTTGGTGAYGTGAATGAAGCGCTCGCRTACATCGCAAAATGCAAGCAACTGCGGCCAGACGATCTCACTATTCCATCGCAAAGGAGATACGCATCTTACTTCAAGAACATGTTAGACAGCGTCCGACCGTCACAAACACCTCTGATGCTCAAGCGAATTATCATGAGTGAGGCTCCGAAAGTAAGTGAAACTCATGTGCTGTTTTCTCTGCATTTCTATCGTTTTGCGACATCGTGCTTCAAATCTGAGCTATTAACGATCCATCATGATTTTTCATTTATGTTAGTTTGCAAAGGGGCCATTAAAAGACAAAGTCCAAGTTGAAAAGAACGATGCAAACGAAACCTCACAAGTCGATGACAAGCAGCTCATGGGATGTGCTCCTTATCTTCAAATTTTCAAAGCTGGAAAACTTCTACACACTTCAGCTGCTTCTCTTCATGTTCAGCAATCAGAGGAAGAATTACCTTTCGTCCAAGTCATAGATGGAACGGTTCCATTTAATATCGACCAGATCATTCATGGAGACATTCTCATTCGATGTCGCCATTTAACTTTTGGAAAGAAACGAGTATCAATGTTTCGAGCGGCCTTCCAYACTGGCTATGTTCCACCTAATGTGCTACGACTTACAAAATCCCAACTCGACGGGGCATGCCACGACAAAAGATATCCCGATGATTTTTTCCTCGACCTTATTTTCGAAAAGGTCGACGCCGATGCAYTGGCAAGATTTGAGGAAGAGAAAAAAGCAAATGAAACAAAAAATAYAGGTGATACAGACGATGAGAAGAGGAAGAAAATAAATGGCCCAGTTATCGAAGCCTCAGAAGTGGACTCCATGCTCAAAGGAGATTCCAGATTTTGGGATGTGATTTCATCAAAGAAACAAGAGCACGTGAAACAAGCGAATGACGATGCCTTTTGGGGCCCAACAGTTGGAAGGAGAAGAGGCGATGCGAAGAAAAAAGAAACGGCGAACGACGACGACAAAAAAACTGACGCTACMACAGCTAAAGGACGTACCCAACTTGAAACTTTTAGTATTGGAAACGAATTCGACTTTTTACCTGTCGGAGAATGCGCMAAAACGGAAAATAAGCCTAAAGAAAGAGACTCTTTAATGGATGCACTGAATGCTTTGGACGAAGAGGAAGGGCACAATGTAAACTCTACCGAAGAAATTGTTTTCGATTACGTCGACTCTTCTGTAAGTCCAGCTTCGAACCCACCGAAATCAGTTTTCGAGGATGAAACGAATTCTRCGATTGGTGATGCTGCCAAGGATCAGATAAAAAACGAGAATGCGGAAAGTGGAGGTCCTACAAKAGAGAGAGCCGAAGATTCTGTGCCTGTTGAGGACCTTTTGAACAGTGAGGATGATATGGATGCACTCTTGGCATCCGCAGATATGGACTTTGGTGATCTGGACCTCGCCGATTTTGAAGATGACAACGACTTKGATGATTTAGAAAACATGTTGAAGGCATAGCACAAGGAGCACGATTTATTAATCTCATAGTAACTGCATACATTTTACCCAATTTCAAACATGAACCTGACGAGTGAGACCAAACGCCTCCCGATAGGATGTTGTCGTTTSGACACCTGCTACCAGATCAGTGTTTACTGCAGTAAAAACAAGAGAGAAAATAGGAATATTGAACCATATTAGTCTCTTTGTCAAACTGAAGCCAATTTCATCGATTGTACCAAGAGTGCTTCAGAATATATGATTCTGTGAGTCAAACTAAATTGCTATTAGAGAAAACTAAGTTATTTCCATTAGTACTACTAAGTACTACTAGTGGGGATATTATATTATTGATTACTGCTACTAACTTCCAGAGAAGTAAGATCTATCAGAGCTGCAAGAGAAGTAGGACTAAGCTCTGATGGAATTTTGTAAAGTTCCCCAGCAGTAGCGAGSACCAAAAATAAAAATATTTAGGGACAAATAAGAAATGAACATAGAATATTTTTCCATACTGTAAAAATGACCCWCAAAATTTTGTTTGTGTTTGTGTGGGAGTTGTCAACAATTTGACAGTTCCTGGTGTACAAATGATGTAGGATCAAAAATATTGGCTRTATAGTGCCAAGTGCTGGCTCTGRTTGTACTTGGATCATTTTTTACTAGTTGGTAGATTTGTTAGTATCATAACAAGTGATCACCACACTACTAGTAGTAAGAAAGTGGTTCCCATAGTTAATTTAATGATGCCATTCTTAGTGCAGTAGAAAACAGTACAAAATCTACTGAGGTAGTTTGCAACTTTTCTGGTGGCRTACTAGAACCAATCCTGCTTCTTTCTCAGAAGGCCATCATGCTGAAAATGTTTGGGAGCAACACTCAGTAGAGCTCTGTAGAAATATTAAATTAACTATGGGAACCCCACTTTCTTAGTGCAGTAATCACTTGTTATGATATTCGTAGTATTCCTRCGTAATAGTATCATCATTTTTTGTTATCTGACATTGGGTCATTCCCGTAAACATAGAATCTATGATGACATACTTTGCGTCTATGACTCAACSGGAATGAGTATGTAAAAACTTAGAATCATAGATATTGAATTATGGCGCTACATGTGCTTAATTTAGGAATATGGAATTTTGCTTCAAATTAACAGAAAAATAACGCTTGAGAACTGTCTGTCAGATGCTCGTGACTAAGTATTTTTTGAATYGAGGATTCCAAAAAATCTATGTGTTGCCTGCCCGGACCAAAAATCTATGTATCTGTGTCAAAAACACATACTTCTATGTGTGCACGTCTGAAGTCTAATACGATTTTACTTAAATCTATGTTTACGGGAATGACCCATTTGTTGTATTTCGTTCGACTACTTATGTTTCCACGTGTAGGTTGGTTTCGCGCGCTTCCAATGCGCGAACTGTCAACCATGAGTACCCAGATATCGTATTTACCTACGTACGGTTAAGAGTACCGGTACTAGGAATAAATTACTGAAGTACAGTATGAGGGAAAATACAGCACGAAAAAATACGTGTCTTTTTCAGACAACGTTCTCCAGCAACCGCGTTTTTGATGGGTTTGCCAAGTTCATTTTGGTTGATGTGTTTGATACCCATTACCCGACAAGTTCGTATCAGAAACCAGAAYTCGTACAAGTTGGGTTGCCGTCGTAAAGGAGAAGAAAAAACGAAASCAAGAAGAATCTCACAGATTTCATCAATTACCTTTCAATCACAAGACCTGAAAACCAAATCAAGCTACATCATCTGATTGAAAAATACAACAACTATGGCGGTTTCCAAATCATCGGTAGCCGCGCCTTCTCTCGATCGAAAGGCGATGTTCTACATGTTCTTATTAAGTCTACAATTTGCCTTCCAACCGATTCTAACTCGAACGTACACGCCGACGAATATATGTCGCTCTACAGTGATATTGATGCAAGAATTACTTAAGTTCATACTCGCCTTTACGATGCTGGCCGTCAGTGGTTCTGGTCGATCAGCCGTATCTGGATGGACCGTCTCGACATGGACTACGGTTGCTTTCGTACCAGCGGCTCTTTATTCGCTTCAGAATATCGCCGCCTTACAGGCGTATCAAACGCTTGACGCCCTAACATTCAATGTTCTGAACCAGACGAAGACTCTATCGGCTGCCTTATGTTGCTACCTGGTCATGGGTCGCCGACAAAGTTTCATGCAAATCATAAGCTTATTCATCTTGCTCATATCCGCTCTGATTATGGAAAAATTGATTCCGCTAGACTTCGCTACAGCCCGGCCCCTCGAACTCACCGCTCTCGAATCACATCATTGGGCACATGGGGTAGCCCCAATAATGCTTGCTAGTTTTATAAGTGGATTATCGGGAGCTCTATCCCAGAAGAATCTTCAAGCCCAAGGTGGCGGTAGAAATTCATACCTRTTTAGCATGGAGCTATGTGCGGCATCTGCAATTATACTCATTTGCAGTCTCTTCATGAGTCCAGATGGGAAAACTATAGCCAGAGAGGGGTTCTGGAATGGTTGGACATCGACAACTTGGATTCCCATCTTGACCAATTCAATCGGAGGTATTATAGTTGGTCTTGTAACCAAATATGCTGGATCAGTTCGCAAGGGATTTGCCCTCATTTTTGGAATGTTTCTAAGTGGTGTTGTTCAGGCGTTCATCACAGCTGAAGGAGTTTCAGTTGAGCAAATGGTTGGGGGTATTTTATCTGCATTTAGTCTTTGGATGCATGCAACAAACCCTCACGTCCCAAAGGAGAAGGAAGAGTAATTGTTCAATTCTCTGTAAATAGTAGTTTCCAAAGGTTGCTTGCAAAAATAATGATGGCTTGAAGACTACTTTATGTTCATCAGTAGAAACAGTTATAGTCATCAGAGGATCCAAACATAAAATAAAATGCTGAAATGTAGGATTAGATTTTTTGGTTTGGCAGTATCATTATTTGATAAGAACGTTTCATTCCAGAACAAAAATTAAAGGGTGCTGTGAAGGTTCAGAACTTTTTATTCTCATCATAATATTATGTAAAAATAATAGTTCAATTTGCARTATAATGAACATGGCTGACTAATCCCAGATAAGTTAGTTTTTCTCAAAATAGTAGGAATACAAGAAGGGGAAATAAACATACCAGTCTGCGCAACACCAGTGCATGGTGCTCCAAGAGTTAATGTTTTCTTTTTGTAATTTATGGCCTTGATGATCCAGTGAGAACTGATCCCAACCAGAAAACAAGAATGATCAACCTGTTGATAATACATCCACAACTTTTTGAATCTCCTCATGAGAGAAAGTGTCACATGTTGGAAAGGCTTTTTGGAGGGAATTGCTGCATCTTCTCATTACTACAA